TTCTTCATTTTTCATACTGACATTACGTTGCATTTCATTAATTTTTTTTTATTGTCTGAATGTGGAATATTTTTTTGCCGCTACCTTATTGAAAATGATCATAATTATCTTTACCTTTAAATATATTTGTGAATTGTATCTTTATTTTTTTTTTCTAGTTTTCTCTAAATATATATTTTTTTCTTTTTGACAGATTTAGATAGCTTAGATTACATATATGTTTTTAATTAATTAGTTTGTACCTTATCTTTATCTAACTTGTGGCGAATCACGAGTTGTAATATATTTACAGGAATCACATTTGTGTTGAGTTTCTCTGCAGTATTGAATTATTTTGATATGAATATTAACTGTTAGTTAAATTCTTATGAATAAATTTGTTTCATATCTTATAATAATACTGTTATTTTTTTTTAATTCAAAAGTTTTGATTTGAGTACCACTGATGGTATATATCTTTTGAATTTTTCTTTGGGCACAAAGTGATACAAATTCCTGTTAAAATTTTAGTATCTTTTTTTGGTAATACAGCAAGAGTTGTATTATTATCGTATCTTACCTTATCTATTAATGCACTTGGCCAGTGTATTTAATGTGTGATTGATTATGTCATGCAATTGATTTATCTTGAAAGACTTAGTAAAGTTTTTTTAAATAAAACATATGTAATCTTAGTTGTTGTTTAGTCTATGTAGATATTTAGTTGAAAAATATTTCACAGAAGCATTTATTATTAACTTTATCTAGTATCTATCTATTATTTTTAACTTTTCACTTTAGGTCATTTTCAATAATTTTTTCTCTTGCTACAACGAGTCATCTTTATTATCTTAACGTTACGACATTACGACATTACAACAATACGACAAGACTTACCTTACTTAATATATTAATTTCTTACAAAAATTTACAGTACCTTGGGATTTCTATTTTGATAATAGTGTTGATTTTGATAATTTTTATAATAATTTCATAATTTTTTCTTTTTAAAAACCTTTAGGCCCTGAGTTGTTATTATAGGTTTAACACTTAGGAATCTAAAAGGTTACGGTCAAAATGTCAATTTTTTTAAATTCAATTCTTAATTAAATTCATATAACTTAACGAATAGTTAAGCATCTCATAAGACCCATGTGAGGGCGGAGATTATATAACCTCTTTCAGTTTGAAAGTTTCAAAAATATCTAAATTTTGTCTAAAGTCCTTATCTATGTCTTAACATTTTTTCTTTAATTTTTTTTTAACAACCTTTAGGCCCCGAGTTGCTATTCACAGGTTTAGGACTTGGGAATCTAATAGGTTACAGTAAAAATTTAAATTTTTTTCTATTTTCTTTGATTTAAGTTAAATCTTAACTAATAGTTAAGTTTCTCACAAGACCCATGTATGGGCAGAGATTAAGTAACCTCTTCCATTTTGGAAGCTTTAGAAATAACTAAACTTTGTCTAAAGTCTCTATATGTTTTATCTTTAATTTTTTTCTAACAGTAATTTTTTTAAATAGTTTAATTTTGATCAACAAATCTAAATGTTTGATTTTGATTATGATTTAATTACAGTAGTCTCGTTAGACTGACACAAGTATCATTCTTATGAAAGTTTCAAACTTAAATTTTTAAATAATTTTCTTGGAAAATTTCAACCTTTTTTTATATAATGGAAGTGTATTTTAGTCAAACATATTGACTTTGTATATAATATATATACCTTTTCCTCTTCCCTAGATAAATTTCAATATTTTTTTATTTTTAACATAATTATTTCTCAATTTCAGTCACATTATATGTTTATATGGTAAATGAACAATTGTAATTTTTTATATTGGTAATTTTTTTCTTCTACAATTGTAAAGATTTTAGTAATGACATTATACATAGTCGGAAAATTTTCTGCCTTCAGCAACAAATTTTCCTAAATCGGTTATCGGGGGTGTAACATTTTAAAAGTCTAATTATAAAATGTTATTTTAAATGTGTGCCATCCGGTATAATTTAATTATCGCCAACACACAATATTCTGAAGAAAGGGAAATTTCTTGAAGTGGGAGTGCCACTAACCAAACTATCTCAAATTAGATTCGTAAATTTCATTTTATCGTTACCTTTCAATTGTTTTGGTGGTATATCGGCTGTTCAAGTGGTAAGCAAAAAAAAGTATATAATGTCTTTATTAAACATCTCAGTAGAAATATTATTCAAACCTTTTGTTAATTATTAGTCTTTTTAAATAGTAAAGTTAAATATATTTTTATGATTCATTCTGGTTGCTAGAACGGCACAATATGTATAGTCACTAGTTTTTATTATCTGATTGGTTCATTTTTTTTTAAAAAGTAGATGTTTCAAATTTATATATCGTACAGAACCACGTGAAAAACAAAATCTATTTTTGTCTAGCAAACGAATAGAATCAGCTGTAAGCCATAAGCTGTAAGCCATAAGCCGTAAGCCATAAGCCGTAAGCCATATGACATAAGCCATAAGACATAAAAAACCAGCCATATCGTCACAAGCCGTAAATCTACACAACAGCTGTAATCAGAACGTTGGTTTTCGAGGATCTTATAAAAACTCGTTGATTTGGACAAGCGACAGCTGTATTTCGAAGGCGTTGGTTTCCGAAGGAAGAAATCTCGACTACCTATGGCTAATTAAGGATGGTTAGCTAACAATGTAAAAAGTGGTAAATACTAGTGACTAGTTATTTATGTACGAATCACAATTTGATACTGGTTTACTGTAAATAATTGTTTTCGAAAAGATTTCTTTTTTTAATAAAATCATTGATTTTTATAAGTATATATGTTGAATCTTATTTTTTAAAGGTCACAAAAATTCTCTTTCATCCACTAAATTCTGTATAATTTTTATTAACTTCTTTTAATTGATAAAGCTAGAATTTATAATTCTCACTAGCTTTTAAAAATAAAAAAGAGAATTATTGGTGCCCAACATTTCCTAGAAAGATTACTACCCTTAAAATTGTCTATTTGAAAAGCCGAATTCACGACAGAGAAAAAGAAGTGCTCATTTATTTTTGTTTAATTTTTAAAGGTAAGTAACGTTTGATAATAAATTTCACTGAGCTAGTAAAAATCTCTATAAGTGTTTTAAAATTAACATTTATCAAAAAGGTAACAAATAATAATGCAAATTGTAGCCTAACGGGTCAAGGGTATATTGCAACATACTCAGGGGACTCAAAACACAAGACAACTCGGTGCGGAAAATTGCGAAACGGTACCGAAAACCCTTTACGCAGCTTCCCACACTCGAGGACAATAACAACGTACAATACACCGCAGAAATCCAAAAAGGGGAAGCATTTGGGGAGTTTTTCAAAAACAATTTTAGAAATAACCAACAAAACAATGAACAACAAAATTTAATAGAAGACACGGTGAATGACATTAGGCTCCTCCCACCGCAGGACTTCCCGGCCAATCAAAGAATAACGCCCACCGAAGTCAAAAACGCGATTCTTAGACTAAGAAATAGAAAAGCACCGGGCCCAGACAGCATTACAGGCCTTATGCTCAAAAACATAACTAGGAAGGTATTAGTCCAACTAACTCACATCATAAACGCAATATTTAAACAACAATACTACCCTATTAAACTAAAAATTGCAAATATTATACCGATTAAAAAACCCGGGAAAAGCGCGAAATATATTGAAAGTTACCGACCTATATCACTACTAAACACACTAACTAAGACTATTGACATTATAATTATGACAAAACTACGGAAAATTGAACAGGACATACAACTAATTCCACAGGAACAGTACGGTTTTAGACCAGGCCATAGTACTGTAGCCCAAATAGTTAGAATAGCTCATCAAGCTAAAGAAGCATTTAACAATAAAAAACAAATGGTTGTAGTAGCGTTGGATACAGAGAAAGCGTTCGACACCGTCTGGACCTGTGGGCTTATATACAAAATGTTTGTAAATGATTATCCTATTTACATTTTAAAAACGATTCTATCTTACTTACAAGACAGAACATTCACAATTAAAATAAACAATACACATACGAGACAGTATGATGCAATAGCGGGAGTACCTCAGGGTTCAATATTGTCGCCGCATCTGTACACGATTATGACCCATGACATGCCAATGGGTACTAATGGTGTACAGACGGCACTGTACGCCAACGACACCTGTGTGTTTAAAACCTCAGATACTGCGGAAATAGCAAACAGAAGGCTTGACATCCATATTAACAGAACGCTAATCCCCTATCTAGAAGCCAATAAAATGAAACTCAACCCAACTAAGACTGAGAGCATGGTTTTCTCTAAAAAGTATAACAAACAAATAAGAAACAAACTTAAAATAGGGGACCAAGTAATAGAGACGCAGAATCATATCAAATATTTAGGTATGCATCTAGATAAGGGATTAACGTTTGGCAAACATATTAGCAACAGAATGAATCTGGCAAACGGGGCATTTAAAGCACTATACCCGCTAATATCAAGGAGAAGCAGAGTCTCGAAAGAAAACAAAATCTTAATTTATAAGCAGGTTATAAGGCCAATATTAACATATGGATGTCCGGTCTTCTGTTCTATGGCCGAATCACATTTTAAAAAACTACAGATCATGCAAAACAGGTGTCTAAGGATGGCTCTGGGGTGGGACAGTTATTCCAGAATCACAGACATTCATCGAGAGACATCTATGTCAACTATCAAAGCATTTATCCTGCAGCAAGCCGAAAGATTCTTTCATAATAGTCTCCCCGATAACGTAAAGGGAGACATATTCAACATCACGGAGGCTAACAGTGCTCATAGGAAACATGGTTGTCTCCACAAATTATTAACATTCTATAGACGAAACTAAAAATCATATAAAATCCATCATTCATAACGTAGAACATCACAGACAGGACGACGGTGACAAAATAACATCATTCAGACAACATCAAGAGTCCCAGAAGTCCTGTAACCCTAAAAATAAAAAGAACCATACACCACCCATATTAGCATGTAAGTACGCCTAAACCAAAACCCTCGTCCCGCTCCGAATCAAAATCAGAGAAATCCAGAGATCCCCGGAAGCATTCATCGAATGCACGCAGGGAAAATCAAGAAAAACACGGAAACAGCTCCCGTAGCCACCCTGATTCAGATACGGCAATAAAAACCACCAAAGACGAGGTTTTGCACCAGGCTCCAGAAACCACCAGCATAAAAAATCCCATTTTCGAAAAAAATACATCAACTTTTTCGACAATGGACAAAAACCCCTTCTTCATACCACCCACAGAGGGAAGCAAACACGCCCCGGAAGGCCATCAAATGGAAACAGAAGACTCCCCGAACAGTCTAGAAAACACCCTGATCTACCAAAGTGCGGAAAACTCGCCCTTAAACACTAGTGAAATCAACCCCGAAAGTGCGAGCAACACCACCGATAGTGCGGCATCACAGAACAAAATTAACACCATAAAAATTAGTGAAAATCGAGAAAGTGCGGTAGTTACTAAAAATACAAGTGAAACCACCCCCGACACCTTCGTGTCCGCGTATCAAACGCTTCCTCTGCCAAGTTCGGTAACGGCACGCGTACTCAACTTCAGAGCTGACAAAAACTCCATTACGTCCAGTGAAGAAGAAAATTCAAATAAACCAACACCACCACCACAACCCCTAAGACCGGGTCTTTTTACTTTACCACCACCTATTAAGGCAAGTACACCCCCAAACACACAAATACTACTACAAAAGAGGAAAAACAACTCACCACCCGAAAAAGACAACGCCGAAAATGACGGGGAAGACGATACGGATGTTTCAGACAACCAAGGGTTCCAAAAACCCCGCAAATTCAAAAAGTTTAAAACAAACTTTGTTAAATTAATCGAACAAAAAGCTGCATCAACCATACCGCTATCTAACAAATACGACTCTCTCAGCGAAAGCGAAAACGAGCAAGACACCGTTATTGCCCCAAAAATTAAGGGAAAAGCCACCCCAAACCTCCCAGTAAAGGGAAATTCTACTAAACAAAACAATAACAACAAAGTCACAGCAACAAAAACAAATAAAAAAGCCACAATCCCTCCAATAGTGGTAGATGGAAGGACGGATAATCATGCTACCCTCACAAAGGATTTAAAAGCAATCATAAAAGGTAAATACTCAGTGAAATATACTAATGCAACCACAGTTATATTCACTGAGGATCTTGAAGATTACGAAGCACTTCTGTGAAGCATCAAACAAGCAGAAATTCCACACCACACATACACAAACAAAGCTGAAAAAACGCATGCCTTTGTACTTAGGGGGTTAGCAAACGGCACGGAAAAAGAAGCCATAGAGGAGGATTTAATAGCCTCTTATGAGATAAAACCCAAAGAGATATTCAAGATGACAACTAAACACAGGCCACTATTTTTAGTGGTCACTGACCCGGCCATAACTCTCGACTACCTTAACAAGAATGTTAGGGTAGTTGAGAACAAGAATAATTTGGGAACTGAGACGCTCAATAAGAACAATCATTCAATGCCACCGATGTCAGGCATGGGGACATGCCACCTCTAATTGTGGCAGGCCACCAAAGTGCCTGAAATGAGCCGGTGATCACCTGACGAGAACCTGTATAAAAACGAGGGAAACCCCCGCTACATAAGCAAACTGCCTGGGTGATCATCCAGCCAATTTCACCCAGTGCAAGTCCTACACCGAAAGAGCTGCCAGGCTCGAGGAGAGAAAACTCACGCAAACACAACCCAGAAAATACATCCCTGCACCTACACCACAAGAAAATGCCTGGGAAAAAGCCAGGGTGGATAGAAGAAAACCAAGCCAAGAAGAATTCCCTGCACTTCCCATATCAAGCCGACAAAATAATAAAAATATTCAATTTTCTCAAAATAAACCTACCCGCACCCAATCCCAAATCCCTACACAACCTGAAGGTTCTATGAACGATATTTTCGCACTAAACCAAGAACTTGCAGAACTCAACAGTATAGTAAACATAGCAGAACTCACTCGGGCTGTCAGAGAACTCAACGCCCAATTACGTAAGTATAACAATAACCCAGCACAATACTTAATGACTTTCAACAATTTCATGACTAACTTAGATAAATTCAACATTAGGAAATAATTTCGACATTGTAAAGCGTGACAAACTGAGAATTTGTTTTTACAATGTGCGCGGGCTGCTAAACAAGATCGGTCTTGTAAGCAATTTCATTCACAAGCATAAATTTGACATCATAATTCTGACGGAGACGTTCCTAAAATCAACCGACAAAGTAAAAATACGAGATTTCATTATACTTAGACAAGACAGACAACAATTACAACAAAGACAAGGAGCGGGAGGGGTAGCTATCCTAGTCAAAAAAGATGTAATTTTTAAACAACATAGACGAGCACATGTTTCAAACAAACTCGAACATATAATAATAGAGGTCAATAATATCATTATCATAGGTGCTTATCACACCCCTAGTAAGAATTTAATTGGTAGAGATCTGCACATACTGATGTCTAAAGGAAACAGGGTTCTTCTCGCAGGGGACCTTAATGCTAAACATCCGGAATGGGACGCTAATTGTGTCATCCCCAACCCCAGTGGGCTGCTATTGAAAGATTTCGCTGAAGCTAACGGATACATAGTACAATATACAGAAGAACCGACATTTTTTCCCTCATGCGCGACACACACTCCGAGTACACTGGATATTGCACTTGCAAAAAACATCCCAACATGAAAACGATAACCACCCTTAGTTCAGATCACGATCCAGTGTACTTGGAAATCTGGACTACACAAAAAATTCCCCGACAATATAGGCAATACTACGACTACAAATCGACAAATTGGGCACTATACAGAGACGAACTTGATAAATTAATAAAAATAAATAATAATATTCCTACAAAGGAAGCAATAGAATTAGAAACAAACAACATCATAAACGCAATACAAAAAGCTAGAGACGCGACAACTACACTTAAAACACATAAACAACACAATGACATATTGCCTATAGAAATTACGGACATGATAAAAAATAAAAATAATATTAGAAAAAGATGGCAACAATTTAGACAAAGCGAAGATAGGGTTAGAATGTACAATCTTGCTAAGACCATCAACAAAATGATATCAGAACATCGTAATGATAAATGGAAAACCACCCTATCCGAGCTAAAACCACACGACAATTCATTGTGGAAAGTGGTGAGAAGGTTCAAAAAGCCGAACTCGCTGCTTCCCACAATGAAACGAGGACCAGACTTACTCAACACAGACAAAGACAAAGGACAAGCCTTCGGCGAACTCTTTCAATCGAACTTTGTCAATAATCAGGTTAACAACCCCGAACAACAGCGCATTGAAACTGCAGTAAATGCGCTGGAGCAGTCGGAACCACAAGTAGTGCCACATTCCTTCTATACCTCCCCTAAAGAGGTGTGTGAAGTAATTAAGTGTCTCAAAAACAGAAAAGCTCCGGGACCGGACGACATCAGTAATATTCTAATTAAAAATCTGTGTAGAAAGGCTGTCGTGCAGCTCCACCACGTAATTAATGCCATTTTCAAGCTACAATACTATCCCAGTGGCTTGAAAATGGCAAATATTATTCCAATTTTAAAACCAGGCAAACCGGCCAATAAAATCGATAGTTACCGCCCCATTTCCTTACTGAACACAATAGCTAAAATCACCGACACCGTAATTTTGAATAGACTTAAGAAAATTGAACAACGACAACAAATTATCCCACGGGAACAATACGGGTTCAGAGAGGGTCATAGTACCGTAGCCCAAGCACTTCGAATCGCGCATCACGCTAAAGAAGGGTTTAACAACGACCTTCAAACAGTTTTAGCCACTTTAGATTGTGAAAAGGCCTTTGACTCCGTATGGACCCGTGGGTTAATACACAAAATGCTTGCGAATGACTTTCCCGTACACATTGTGAAAATAATCCAGTCATACTTGACGGACAGACAATTTTGTATAAAGATAAACTCCACAATAACAGGACCTTTCCTAGCGATGGCGGGAGTACCCCAGGGCTCAGTACTTTCGCCGCATTTGTACACGATTATGACCTGTGATTTACCCATGGGTGATAATGGTGTACAAACGGCATTGTACGCCGACGACATCTGTGTGTTTGCAAGTCATAAATCCGCGCAAGAAGCCACCAGGAAACTGGACAACCATATAAACGGACCACTATTCACCTATCTAGCCGATAACAAAATAAAATTAAACACCAGCAAAACAGAAACGGTGCTTATATCGAAGAGGCGGATCGAAGGGATAGACACGCCCCTTCGAGTCCAAAATCTACCAATAGTAGCAAAGCCGGCAGTTAAATATCTTGGAATCGTGCTGGATAGGGGACTAACATTCCGAACACACATTTTGGATAGGGTGACTAAAAACTACGGAATTCTTAGGACCCTCTACCCCCTAATGAATAAACGAAGTAGAGTCACCCTATCAAACAAAATTCTTTTATATAAAACGGTTTTTAGACCGATTCTAACATATGGTTGCCCGGTTTTCTGCTCAATGGCCCAACTGCATTATAATAAACTACAAAATGCCCAAAACAGATGTCTCAGGCTAGTTCTGGGGTGTGATCGTTACACTAGAATACGAGACATGCACGCTACGACAAATATGCCACTCATTAAAGACTTCATCATCAAAACAGCTGAAAACTTCTACGCGCGATGCCTCCCCGATGAGTTGAGGGATAGCATCATCAACATACATCGGGAAGACGGCGTGCGTAGAAAGCACGGCTGTCTTCATCAATGTTTGAGCATATACCGACGACAATAACAGGACCCTCCACTGTGCATAACGTACTAAACAACAATTCACCCGATGTAGATACTTACGAGATCTAGTCGGACGGACGACTGAACGGTGAAACTGACTGACAGCGCCACGGTGAAGGGGCATAGTATTCTCAGCACCCACAAAAGGATTTAGTACAGAATATACTAAAAGGCTTAAGAACAGATGCCGGTTTAGGCAGCCTCAATACGAAAAAATACTGAATTTGACATCTCCAAAGACGATTAAAGCCAAAATCAAGAGAACAGGGCAAAAGTACGTAAGTACCAACACGCTAGATTTATTCCATGATACTGATGAAGAGACCTCAGGAATAGAGGACCCCCACGTCGAAATTTCTGTGACTCGACCTTCATATGACCCTCAAACAGTTGGAGAGCCATCAAATATAGAAAATACCACGGCAGAGGGTACGAACAACACAAGAAAGCCCTCAGTGGCTGACTCGGGTGACTCCGGGGAATTTCAAGACAGTGTCGATAGTTTAAATGATCCCACAATCGATGATACCACGCAAAAACTAATTAATGTATTGGAAAATTCAGGTGAAACCATAAGTACATCGGACGATTCGACCCTAGGCAACCAAATGGATACCTCAACAGGTAGAGAACCAGGTGAAAAAACACCGGATAAATTTGAAACCTATCATGTAACAGATCTCAACACACTGCTTGGCAAAACCATCATCCTTCCTCTCCCAAAGAATATAATGGCAAATCTCTTAAACTTTAAGACCAACCAACTTGATCAGCTGCCGAAAGTCTCAGCTATAGAATTAGCCAAAGGAAGTGCGGAAAACGCCTTAAAGAGTGGTGGATCGAGTAACTACTCTGAAGGGAAGGTTACCGCACCCCTTGTTCAGCAAAGCACGATGCAGACCGGTACCATAAGACGCACTGCAGTCAAAAAGGATCCTAGGCTTGCAACTAGAATGAATAGCGACCCAAGAATACAAATTCATGTGCAAAATCAAGACATTCCCAGTGCAGTGCAAAGTAACATTTTACAATTTGATCCCAACCTTGCTACTTCAGAAGAAGAACCAACCTCCAACAGGTACAACTTCGACAACCTACCACACTCTCCAAATAGCTTGTTCGAACGCAGAAATGCTAAGGAAAGAGCGTTATATGATAACGAAACAAAGATGGATGAAGACGAAAATAATGCCTCAAATAACACCCCTTTCTTAACTCCTAAGAAATTTAGCAGGAACTTTCAAAACTTGATTAAGGAAAAATCTAAAAAAACCCTCACCACAACGAGAAACAAATTTCAACCACTTACCGACGAGTCTGAGTCAGATACAGATGACGAAATCGGCAAAATAGTGAAAAAGAGGAAGAAAGGGCTTAAATTCAAA